TTGCCAAGGCTTCCAGGGAATTAGGATTCTTTATGGGATCCCGACGCACATTAGAAACGCCTTGGCCAATGACCCTTCAACCGAAGCAGCTGTTATATGTTTCATCAAGAATGCCAACATGTATAAGAACATCTGACCTAACTCACTGGCAAGAACCAACCATAACCGACCCACTGCATCGAACCAGGACCAACCTCTATAACGGACTCTGAATTCACCACCATAACAAGAATCAAGAATTCACTGAATTCACCACCAAGGTCAAGAATCCCAAAAACCTGTCTACGTAGTTAATGAACTGCCCCTTAGTAGCAGCCAGTTGCGTCCCGTAACCTCACAGGTTTAATGCCATATTCATACTCGAATCGATTGGAAAATACACTTAATCTTCTAGTTAACTCGATATCTATCCATTGCAAGCAATATTTTGATAATTGTTTATGTTTTGAGAGTTGGGCACAGGTAGATTGAGGTTAAGGAAACGCCACTGGTAGCAGCTGATTCTACTTACTGAGTAGCATATCATGGGTTCACTTCCAAGCTCTCCACGTAATTACTAATATTGTCGCATCGCTTGCTTATAGCGAAGATAACTGACCAATTTCCTTCCCAACCATCCAACTCCGTGGCATCAATCGGCGAGTCGCTACCTCCTATTAAGTGGATGTTACAGCATCAATATCCCTCCTATCCTCGTAACGGAGAAGATGGGTGTGGCCGGCAATGCTAATTGTCATGTTTTTTTGGTCTAACCTTTGATTAGAGGAATATTCACTCTTAAATAGTTCTCCTCAAGCAATCAGAACAAGAACGTTAAAGGGAATACATGACATCTGCCAGTATGTAATCTACGAAATACTTCGTTACAAAAGCTACACAAAGCAACGCAAATCCTGAATCTTGAATTCCTATGCCCGGAGCCTGAGCAAATTGTCAATGTTACCTATGTGGATAATTGCTACAATAGAGTGCAGCGAGCTCGTGCTTCATTCTTCGCCGCCACTCACCGTTCTCCGGCACACCGTCGAAGATCGTCCTTAGCACACGTCGCTCAAAAACTCCGAGTGCTTGCAGGTCCTCCTCGATCATAGTCCATGTCTCGTGTCCATAGAGGACCACCGGTCTTATTAGCGTTCTGTACATGGTACATTTGGTGCGGGGGTGAATCTTTTTTGACCATAGTTTCTTCTGGAGCCTGTAGTAGGCACGACTTCCACTGATGATGCGCCTTCGTATTTCACGACTCAGCCGTCAGTAAGGATCCAAGGTAAACGAATTCCTCCACTACCTCGAAAGTATCCCCGTCTATCGTGACATTACTTCCTAGACGAATCCTGTCCTGTTCGGTTCCGCCTACTAGCATGTACTTTGTTTTTGACGCACTCACCACCAGTCCAACCTTTGCTGTTTTGTGTTTCAGGCTGGTGTATAGTTCTGCCACCGTTCCAAATGTTCTTGCGATAATGTCCATGTCGTCCGCAAAGCACACAAATTGACCGAATTTCGTGAAAATCGTACCCCGGCTGTTGAGCCCGGCACCTTCTAGAGCGATGTTGAAGAGTAGGCATGAGAATCCGTCACTGAACTGGATAGTTCACCCGAAACCCTTACGCAGTTTTGCACACCGTCCATCGTGGCTTTGATAAGTCTGATCAGCTTCCCAGGAAAGCCTTTCTCGTCCATGATTTTCCATAGCTCTGTGCGGTCAATACTGTCGTATGCCGCCTTAAAGTTGATGAATAAAATATGCGTTGAGACCTGGTATTCACGGCATTTCTGGAGGATTTGCCGTACGGTGAAGATCTGGTCCGTTGTCGATCGGCCGTCGATGAAGTCGACTTGATAACTTCCCACGAACTCGGTCATTTTAGGTGATAGACGACGGAAGATGATCTGAGATAGCACTTTGTAGGCGGCATTCAAAATGGTGATCGCTCTGAAGTTCTCACATTCCAAATGGTCGCCTTTCTTGTGAATGGGGCAGATTACCCCCTCCTTCCATTCCTCCGGTAGCTGTTCTTTTTCCCAGATCCTGACTATCATCCGGTGCAGGCAAGTGGCCAACTTTTCTGGGCCCATCTTGATGAGTTCGGTTGCGATACCATCCTTACCAGCTCCTCTGTTGTTTTTGAGCTGCTGCATGGCAGCCTTAACTTCCTTAAGCGTGGAAGTTGGGTCAGTTCCGTCCTCTGCTGCACTGACGTAGTCGTTTCCTCCATTGCGCTGGTCTCCCGTGCCTACGTTCTACTCGCCATTCAGGTGCGCCTCGAAGTGCTGCTTCCACCTTTCAATCACCTCACGTCCGTCCGTCAAGAGGCTCCCGTCCTTATCCTTGCACATTTCGGGTCGCGGTACGAAGCCGTTGCGGGATGCGTTTAGCTTCTGGTAGAACTTCCGTGTTTCTTGGGAACGGCACAGCAGTTCCATTTCCCCGCACTCCGCTTCTTCCAGGCGGCGTTTTTTCTCACGAAAGATGCGGGTCTGCTGTTTCCACTTCTGTTTATACCGTTCTACATTCTGTCGGGTTCCATGCTGCAGCATTACCGCCCGCGCTGCGTTCTTCCCCTCCAAAATCGCTCTGCACTCCTCGTCGAACCATTCATTCCGTCGACTTCTTTCCACGTACCCGATGGTGCTCTCGGCTGCGTCGGTGATGGCTGCTTTAATGTACTCCAGCAGTCCTCTAGAGGAGGCACATCAAGCTCGCCCTCCTCTGGCAACGCTGCTAAGGCGACATCCGCTTGCTTCACTCACTCTAGGTTGTACCGTGGCGGGTGTCGGTACCGTACATTTTTGATGACGGAAAGTTTTGGGCGCAGTTTGACCATCACCAGGTAGTGGTCAGAGTCGATGCTAGTGCCACGATAAGTCAAGAGATTTTAAACAAATTGAAAGAGCGGCGATAGAGTGTTCGTGAAAGGGGATTGAAAGCCATAATGAAGTTCGTTTAACTAGAAAATCGACGTTATTTACATTGAAAGCGATGATCAAAGCAACGACGAGAAGTTCCACAGCCAGCCTTTCCTTCCAAGCGTCCTTCTTTTTTATTTTCGTTTCTTGCTGATAGTCTAGCTAGGCGTTATAGAAATGAAGCGTCGAACACGTATGTATGAGAGAAACAAAACACGAGTTCATTTTAGAGCTTCGAAATTGTAGAGCCCTGCTCACAACTCCCTTGTAATTCTTCTAAGAGTTCGTCAGGACTTAATACTACAATAAATTTAGGATTCGTGTCAGAGCTCCGTTGAATTTTTCTTCGAGTTCTTCTCTGAATTTTGAATTTCCAAAATTCTATAAAACATTCTTCTTATTCAGGGTTCTAACATTTTTTCAAGACCACACAATTTTCCAGAGACTGTATTTTTCAAATCGGGAATCTTGAAAATTTGTTTAAAGCAGGGATATAGAAAATTAAAAAAATTCCACATTTTTACTATTTTTCTCAGTTTTATACTGTGGGAAAAAGTCTTTCTTCTCAATCTAGGATAGATTTTTATAAAACCCATCTCTAAAAAATAGCATATTCTAGAACTCACGATTTTTAAAACAATTTCTTAATATAATCTCTCCCTCTAAAATTCGATATAATGACCCATTCAGCCCGATAGCGTTCGGCTATGCAACCTATAAAAAATTCATAGATTATCCATAGATTGATAGATTAGGATCATAGTTTACTAAAGATATGCAAAGAGTAGGTAAATCTTAACATTTGAATCAACGCCAATGAATGTTTACACTTAAATTCCGAGATGTATGTGCAGCAAGCATTTCTCACTTCATTTTTACAACGCAAAATCAAATACAGTTTATTACTAGAATTGAAATCTACATTGTTTAAGGCAAATAACAAGCTTAAACTCTATTCTATCGACTGCTTCAAAAATAACTATTACTCGAAATCCCAACAAACTTTTCAAGGCCTGAAAGTTCGAATGTTGTTTATCAATCAAGTTAGATTGACGACATGCTAAAATACTTATTTATGTGAGATATAAGTAGCACAATGCCGAGCTTATACTTACCTAGCTCTTGAGTGGAAGTTTTTGGTTGGTGGAGATGGCAGAGATAAGAAAAATATTGATTTGCTTGTTTTCCCTTGATTTGTTTTCCGTGCTGAGCACCAATGCTACCGACGCCAGGGAGGCAGCTCCCACACCTGGACCCTATCTATCGACCCATCAACTCATGAACCGGGGGCTTACGGCTATACTTCCCTTCCGAAGAAAGGCGTGATCAGAGATGTTATGCCTCAGAACATCCCGACGGCGCCGACTGGGATTGAACCCAGGCCTGCTGGGGTGAGAGGTAATCACGCTTACCACTACACCACCGGCGTCGGTGATTGCTTTGCTTTGAAACAGTTTTATTTTTAAAACAGCTACTGATTCAACTAATTTTAAATTTCACACATTTTAAATCTAGTTTCCACTGCTCTTGTTGTTTGCCTCCAAGTTTAACAGATGGGGAAATGCAAAATCAACAGGTACATCTTACACGAGACGGCTTCAGATGCCTCTCTTCCGGTGTGTCGAATGGATATGAATGGGAGTGGCGTCCTGAAGAACAAACACCATCAGGACATACCTAATGTAATGATTTTCGAAGACGAATGCAAGAACAATAAATGTGTGAAAACCGATTTGAAATATGTCGCTTACTTTCCGAGAAAAAAGTCCCAAAATTGTGCTCTTTTTGCCTCGAAGGTAGGCTTTTGATCTCTTAACCGGAGACGGCGTGTTCGATTCCCAGTCCGGCCGAGAAAATCTTTAGGTTAGAAATTTGTTCGTCCCTGGGAATAGAGTGTCATTGTACTTGCCACATAATTTACAAATTCATGCATTGGTTGACATAGAAGATACAATCAATCAATAACTGCACTTCCAAGTGAATCCTTCTTCATCTCTATATTCCTTCTAAATTTAAAGAAAGATTACCATTCCTCGTAAATATTTCCGACTCCGTTACTAATTGAACTTTATTTTCTTTCCCTTTTGCAGATAAAAAAGCAACATCATCTGAACCACCCAAGACAGACGTCATATTCCTGCGACTGCTCACAGCTAAGCCAAGTCATATCAGAGCACCGATGCAACATCGTTGAAACGTGAGCCCAAAAAAGGCTATTTCGCCTAGAGAGTTGCTGCAGACTACGCGCCAAGAAGAGAGTCCTCATTTCAGTATCAGTAGTGACCGGCGTTAGTGACTTCCCTCTATCTCTCTGTCCTCTCCTTCCTGTCCAATCGTGCTTGAGTTTCTCTCAACCGTTGATTTCTTTTTTGTTTTTCCTAAGATTGCCCATTGCAGTTCTCTCGTTTCCTATTTTGTTTCGTATGATCAACCATCGGCGGTTCCCTCTTCCAGTGTTCCGTTTGTGATAATGTATTGTAACGTAGATCCGCTGGCAAGCAACCACTTTGAGAACGTTTATCTGAGTCAAGCAAGTGGAAACCGTCGACGAGTGTCCTCGAGCGAAGAGTCCTCAAAGGATATTCTCAATAGGACATACGACGACGGTAATAGCAGTAGTCTTAGCCCATTCGAGTTTATTAGCAGTATACCTCACACGAAGAAGACATCCCTAGTTGCCGTTGGCGCGGTTGGAAATCAAATTTCCACACGCTGTTAGTTTATTATCGGAGAATTTAATTAGTATCCATTTATTAAACGTAACATTTGATCTTGTTTTGTGTCGAGTTTCCTTTTTCCTTGAACTTACTTTTTCAGCCGCAAGACATAAGGCATTTTATTGAGATTTCCTAGTTCGTAAGACCCCCTTAACTAGACTTAGCGAATCGCGAGAAACTATAATCAAAGAGATATAAATATATTAGCTACAAACATACATTGAATTATTAAAATCCCAATATATCGACTTTAGTTAGTTAAGGCAACTGTGCTAATTATTCCCTCCTTCTGAAACGTCTGAATCAATCTAATCTGAGTGTAAGAAAATACCAAAAACAAAAACAACTGAATCAAGAGAACTGTATTTAGGCATAGTGATTTGAGAAGATAACCTTATCTCCACTGATTGGTTTTTCCTAATTTTAATTTATCATTTCAATTACTATCCTTACCCTGAATCCTTCGAGCGTCTCGATTAAAACAGAACATCTTATTATTATTTTCTCCAAAGATCCCGAAAACTTGTCCTAGTCCTACGCTTAAAAACTACTAAAACTTGCGCGAGAAAATCCAAACAATAGAAGGAAGCAACTAAACTTCGTCTGCAGTTCTATTCGTCGGACTTGAGTGTGTGTTTGTGTGTGTCACAGTGAAATCAAAAAAGAAGAAAAATCTGCCGAAAAATAATAAACTCAGAGGTTTTTTCCCCAAATTTCCCTCTCGTCCGTGTTGAATTTATCCAGGTGGAAAACCGTTCGGGAACAACAACAAAAATACCAACTACGACAACAACAACAACTACAACAATACCCACGAATAATGCCGCAATAATGCTGTACAAATGGGAGCAACAAAAAGAGCATGTTTTAGCAGAAGGTAAGTGGATCGATGTTTTTTTTTTTGCCGTAGGTATGGTCGTAGAACGAGTTCATCTTCTTTAAACTGAGCTGGTGTGTATTGGTCAATTTACTTTAAGCATAATGTTTAATGGAAGTGTTTAACAAAATGATTACATCCAAGCTCTAAAATTTGAAGGTGCCAGTAGTGGTTCAGAGAAGAGCGTGACTGCTTTCTCACCCCAGTGGGTCTAACTTCAATCCAGTCAAGGTCTTTGAGATTTTTTGAGGCGAAGAATCTCTGGTCACGTCTTCTTTTGGAAGGGAAGTAAAGCCGTTAGTCTTGGCTCAGATACCGATGAAAAATAAGCAAGAAAAATAACCTCTAGAACTCACCATGATTCACGAAATTTTCCATTGTTGAACTTGGCTAAACTTTGCAACTTTGTTATCGCTATGTGGCATTGGTGTTGATATGGAGATAAATTGTATGTTTTAGAAGATACAATCTATCAATCTAGGAATTCTATACAAAATCTCCGTAATAGTCTCTTCAGATCTTCCTTGGAATTTACCGTTATTTCTTCTTACTATTTTCTTGCAATAATTCTTCTACCTGCAGCTTCTTCTCAAAATTTCTTTAGAACTATCTCTAGAATATATTAAAATTTTGTCAAACCGATGTTTTTTTCTTAATCTGAGATCGCATGACAATTTTAATTAATTCTTAAATTTGAAATTTTTCGGAGTCTTAAATCTCGTTCAAGAATGTGAAAAACTGACCAAGTCTCAAAGTCTCGAAATTTTCTCATGTAATCACTTTGACAAACTTTTCAGTCCGAGATTCCAATGTTATTCTATAGATCCCTTTTTCCTTCAAATGAATTTCCAAGTTCAATTTATCATTTGGTCCAATGACCCACTTAGCCTTTTTTATTTAAAATTTCGGTCTTATGTATACTAATTTGTTTAAATTTTGGAACAACATTTTACAATTTAATGCAATCTTTGGAGCCTTTTGGAGTATTCCTTTTTACTATATTTTGCTGTTTATATGAGACCGGGAAAACTGTCTTGGGCAAACGGGAAAAAAACCAGGAATTTACACTCCTGATCATAAGTTTAAAGACACCCCCAAAAAAACATGACAAATTTGTTATGGTCATATCTCTGTCATGTTACGTCCAATTTTCGTTCTCTTTAGATCATTTGAAAGGTATTGAATGGAACTTTTCTCATAGGCAAATTGTTCAATATAATTTTCATATTTTGTGTGCTAAAAGTTCACTCAAAGTTACAATATTTTGCAAAATTTACTCTGAAGAATAGTGACTGATTTTCTCAGAATTGGGTTGGTCAAATTTTGAAATAAAAATAGTAGTAGAACACTTATGCTATACCATTCATACCATTCAAATAACCTTTGGAGATCGAAAATTGAACGTAAAATGAGAAATCATTGAACAAAACATATTTGCATGGTTCTTTGGGGGTGTCCTTAAACTTATGATCGGTAGTGTAATTTCTTAAATTTAGTGATGATCCGATGAAATTGGTAAAAAGTTGTAATTATTTTCGTTGGAAGTTGTGCAAGCTTTATCTTTTTTATCTTGAAATCGAGCCAAGTTCTTACACGAACTGTGACCATTTCATGGAAAATGGGGCTAATTACGATTTTTGTTGGAAAATGAGATTTGCAAGAAGTTTTCGACTTCATTATAAGTGGCGACAAATGCTTGTACAAATTGGTCACGCGAGGGTTAACAGAGAGAGCAAACGTGATCCAATTTTCGAAAAACTGAGAGCGATATAAATACAGTGTAAACAATATACTCTAAACTACTTCTACCCAAATTTTCAAGAAAGAATAACCAATAGATAATTTTCTACAGCGAAAAAAAAAATGCAATCCTTCTCATATTTCAAAACTCATAACATGGATTACAACATTGAGATTCAATTTGTTTATTTCAATACACGTTCATACAGCAAACACAGGGGCCTCCCTTAGCTCAGTCGATAAAGGCGCAGCTACAAAGCAAGACCATGCTGGAGGTGGCTGGGTTCAATTCCCGGTCCGGTGTAGGAATTTTTCGAGTTGGATAATTTGTCGACTTTCCTGAGCTTAGAATGTGATTGTACTTGCCACACAATTATACTAATGCAAAATTGGCACAGGCATCGAGACTCTCAATTAATAACTGTGGAAGTGTACCTAGAACACTAAGTTGCAGGGCTGGTAGCGAGTCACTTTTTAGTGAGTTGGTCACTTTTTTCAAGCCACTCACTGAAAAGTCTCTTTTTTAAGACCAAGTCACTAAAGTCACTTTTTATTGTAATATAAGTCACTATTTTCAACTTTTTCAGCGCGAATTTATTTCAAGATTGATCATTATTTGCTTTGTGACGTTTAATCGGCTTTCTCTATCTACAGGACGTCTACTCAAATTTCAGCTCAGTTTTAAAGAAACAGCTGTAATCAAATCCATTGAATGATGAAGTTTAACGTTTACTTAATTTCTCACTTTATAAAGTTAAAAAAAATACTTAATTTAGTAAGTACAAGATCTAAAATTATTTAATATCTTGAAGTTTCGCATTCCAAGTACAAGTTCAAGAGTTTTAGCATCCGAAAATTTTCAGGAACTTTTATGAAGTTCCTAGAATTTCAGAGAACTTCACAGGTGTCAAGCAAACTTGAGAAATATAGAAAACATGAGGGGTATTGTGCAAATTTTTAAGAAGTTCTAAGTACCTCAGAAAAGCTAGATCTAGAGATCTTTGGGGAATTTCAGATCTTAAGAGCAGTTTCCGTAGCTTTAGTCCTGACTTTTGGAGCAGTTTAAAGATCTATAATCGTAAATTTAGAAAAATTCAGCATAGTTCCATGATGTGCTGAAAAAAAAACGAGAAGCCTTAAGATGTTCCGATTCAGGGATGTACAGAGACATTTAGAGGAATTATGAAAACTTCAGAAATATTTCAGGAACTTTACAGAAGTCCAGAGAATTTCAGGGAAATTTAAAAGTGTTTACGGGAATTCCATTTATTTTCGAGCAGAACTAAGATCCTCAATATAATTTAGAGCTTTAGGGAAATTTGGAGAACATCAAGACAAATCCAACAATCAAAAGGCAGTTCAAATAATTTCAAGGAAATTGTAGAAACCTAAAAGTAGTTTCGAGAAACTCAGGGAATTTTCGGAAACTTCAGCAAAGCTCCGAAAGAATTTGTGGAACGCGATAAAAATTATATGAACATCCGCAAGACGTGAGAGTATTCTAAGGGTGTTATATTATGGAGATTTCGCGAAAATTTAGCTTAGTTGAAAAGAAATCCAGATAACTTTTAATCCATTTAGATATTTTTAGATGGTTTTATGATAGTCAGCGAATTTTTGAGTACTTCGAGAACGATCAGATAGCTTTAGAATAATTCCATTAGCTTGAGCAAATTTGAAGCGACTTAAGGGCTGTTCATAAACTACGTAGACAGCTTATGGGGGAGGGGGGTTGGCAGTCATCCATGGTCCATACACATTTTTTGTATGGTCAAATGTCTACGCAGGGGTAGGGGGGTCAAAAATCCCAACATACTGTCTACGTAGTTAATGAACAGCCCCTTACGGAGTTCCGTGGAATTATGGGGGTTTCAAGAATTCTACGATTGATCCGAAAACGTCAAAACCGTCAGGGAATTATGAATATATATCACAGGGTGGCCAGCAAACCGGGAAATATCCGGGAATATGAAAAGTAACCGGGAAAACCAGAATTTCAGAATAAACCATTCAAACGGAGTGATTCTTTACCAAATGAACGTCTTTCTCTATTTGCTGCATAATTTTCTTCAGATTTCCGTCTTATTATTTTGAGAATTTAACCACTCAGTCATATTTCAAATTGATTTTTGTCGTTTCAATTTCAGATGTAAAGTGCATGGTCCTCAAAACAAAATATTGAAGATGCTGGACTCGAGAAACAAATATTTGTAAAAAACTGGAACTAAACTATTATTTTCCGGGGTTTTAATTTTATTCAAAATTCTCATGATAATAATCCCAAATTTTGAAGAAAAGTTCTAGTTTCAGACTCTACACAAATTTCAAAGTCCCAGAATCTTGGAAATATACTAGAATCAATTTTGTTATCCTTTTAGTAAATAACTTCAGTTATGTTTTTCAAATATTGGTCAATTGGACGTGGTATTAAATTTCATGAACCATGTTTACTTTCACGTTTAGCGAGTTCCAATGTCAGTATATTTTACACATTTTTTTCGTGTTTAACTCTGTTCATCAGCGCGAGTTCTGTAAGTTTAATATTTATGTTAGTGTAGCCAACGGAGTGAAGACAAATTTTCTTTTTCCGATATCCCTAACAATTTGCTCTAATTCTCATTTGTATCAAGTTCATTTTTTTTCTGATTTTTTTTTTAATTAAATCTCTTCACAATTCTGTCTTATAACCTATTCATCCAGATAGCATTTGAAATCCAGGGCTTTGAAATCAAAAGATGTATCGAGCATAAAAAGTGGTAGAAGTTGATTTTGAAAAGTGAGAGTTGAATTTTTTCCTTAGCTTTAGAAAATACTTTCTATAATAAAAAGCAAAATTACAAATTTTTCCCACAAAAAACCTCCGAAATTTTACAGTTGTCCATGTTTTAAAAAATGCGTATAATTTCGTTTTTGTTGAATATTAACTACCGGAAAATTTCTATGATTCGAACCGGGAAATAACCGGGAATTTCAAAATGAAAAGTCAATGGCCACCCAAAATTTGCCGGATAGTTAAACAAATTTAGAGAACTTCAGGTAAGCATCAGGGAAAATTAGTGAGCGTTTATAATGATTATAATACTTAAGGAAAATTGTCGAAACTTCAAAGCAAATCATTTAATTTCAGTAAAGTTGCGGGTAAAAGGTTATCTTCCATTTAATTCCACTTAATTAATTTTGGTATCCATGACAGATACGTATTTCGACTACAATGTGCAGTCTTCATCAGTGTCATTCCCACTAAAGAACTTATCAAAATC